ATTTCCCACCTCTCTCCCTGCGGGCCACAGATGGACAGGGGCAGTGTTCTCTCGAAAAGCTCAAGCTCCTGCTAGTCGGCTCTTGTCCAGCAGCCTCACTGGCTTCTTGCCCCTCACGTCCTGTGGGGTGGGAGTCGTTTTCACCTACTGCTGGCCCTGGGTCTTCACCACCCCTTGTCAGTTCCCAGCCTACACCCTTGTAAACAACCTCTTCCTTGAACTCCCTTAGCTTTTCTGTTTCTGCTCTTTCCTGCCAGGAACCTGCCGGACAGGGAGCCGGTTGTTTTGATCAGAGTCACCTTCAATGGAGTGGTTGAGGAAGATGGTGGAGAAGTAAATGGAAGGAAAGGAAGAAAAGATTAAGGACGTGGATATTTTTAAAAATAGCATGTCCACGAAGGAAGGGAAGTGCTGGAGAGCATCATAGCTAGTGAGACTTCTGAAGAACCAGAGACTTGTCTTTAGGTTGTGAGCAAGAAGCTGATGTAGAACGAGAGGATAAACATTATATTAGCAAAAGACTTGAGAAATTGTAATGTGATGTAATCTGGTTAGACTTGCACGAAGAGGCGTTGAGAACAATGAAAGAGAGAGTTGATGGGCTAGTACAGGCGGAGTAGAGTTAGGGAACTTCGTGCCCTGTGGGCTCAGTTTCTTCCCCTTGAAGGTGAGGCCATTTGTTCAGAGGGGAAGGATTTGGGAGGGGAAGACGGAGGGGAATGAGAAAGGCTTGAAACAGTGGTCGTGGGGAATGGAAGAGGAAATTGTTTGCTGAACAGTTTCGGACTCGAGTTGCAATGTTCGGAAATCTGGAAATATAAAGGAACAGTGCTTTGGAAGAATAAGGTGACAAAAATCTGGAGCATGCTAGCAGGAAGGTGATTGATGTCATCCACCAAGTGTCTAGGCTGCACAGGAAGGGCAGAAACCAGGAAAACGGAGAAAGTGAAAAAGAGAAGGTTGAGAAATTGGAGGTCTTAAAGAACACGTTGGGAGTAGAGGCTTGAGAGAGCAGAGGGTAGATGCTATTGTCGGAGAACAGTACATTGAAATGGAAGATTTCAAAAAGGAATTTCGTAGTGAAAGTCAGGAGAACTGAATGGATAATGACAGAATGTTTGCTAATCAGAGGGGCACAAGGGGATTATAATTTCTTCCCTGAAATTCATTATCAACTGGGTTCCCTGAATAGAAGCCCTCAAACAGTAATAAGTAGACAAAACTAAGCCCCCATGTCTTCATTGCAGGAATGTGTGTGTTTCCTTCCTAGATTGTGAATTCCTTGAGGAGAAGGAATTATCTTACCCATTTTTATCACTCCTCCTTTATCTAACACAATTCCTTGCATATATTAGACCCTCAAACCTTTGTAGAGTATTTTTAAAAGAGAACAAAGGAAAATAAATCAAATTTTCATCGTGAGATAATAGTTTACTAGATATATTTGAACAGCTAAATTATATGATCATAATTGTATTCTGCAATAAATTCAGTATAAAACTCCTCAAAATTCTATACATTTCTTATTTGTGTGTTAATGTTTCATTTTGCATTTCAAAACTAAATTATATTTATGGTGGCATTTACAGTCAATTTTAAATGGCAGCTTTTTTTAAGGATCACTCTCTTATAGTCCAAATATGCAGAATTTTTAATAAGATCCTATAGAGAGGAATTGCAATGTTGTGTTTGGCATCGGTGAGTTGCATCCAGACTTCTGAAATTACCTTTATTTCCATAATTGTATCTTTAAGATCTTATATCTATGTATTCTATGCACCATTTTGCTTCATATATATCTAGTAGTAATAATAATAACTACCATTTGAATAAGACATACTATGTAACAGACACTGTTCCAAGTAGTTTACATGGTTTACTTATTTTATTCCTCCTAACAACCCCATGAGGCTGAGTAGCTATTATTATTTTATAGATGAGGAAACAGATACAGAGCGGTTCCACTCATGTGCCCAAGGTCACAAGCTTAGTGAGTGAATCGAAACCTAGGGACTCAGGCACCAGTGCTCCGGATATGACCCACCACTACCAATATAGACACAGATAGGGGCACAGAGGTAGAAGCATGATCCTCTATTGCTTGTCCAGTGTCTGTTTCCTTTGTCTCGAGCCCCCTGAGGTCAAGGATGCTGCACGGCACATTGATACTTGTCAATAAATAGTTTGTAAACAAATGAATGAATGAGCTTCACACTTCCCAAGATAATTTGGAGATTCCCTACGGGAACAGCTAAAACCTACAGTTTTTATTCCATTTTCAAATTATTTTACAAAGAATACTCCTGGCTTTTCTTTCAAGTCTATTCCAGTATTATTTGGGTGGTTTCTTAGGAGACATGTTATGACATTTTAAACCTTTACATGGAAAACGTCGTTCTTCTGCTGAGACAAAAATGAGCTCTCCTTCCCCTCCTGCCTGATATAATAGAAGATTAAGTGTTTACAGGAGGAGAGTTTGTAAGGCAGGATTTCTGCAGCAGCGGGTTTTAAATATTCCAGTCAAATCCTGCCCTTTTGTCCGACTCTCACTGATGAGTGTTACCATCAAAGCTTCGCTCTGGCATCCATTAGTCACCAAGTGCTTATTTTGAGAATGGTTGCTATCATCACTTATTCCCTACAAAGGTGCCACCTAGTTACTTTTGTTTTGGCAATTATGGGTTAAATACAGTCTTGGGTTCAGTCCTGCTTAAACTTGCTGGCTCACCATTTAAAATTAATGCATGATGGGTTGTTTTTTACAAGAGTAAACCTTTCATTGAACAGAACTCTTTCAAAGCGCCATTTGTATTCTTCTGTTCCATAGGAGAGAGCATCCTTTGGCTGGCCAGCTGTGTTTTTCCACCCATGCCCTACAAAGCTGTCCTATATCACGGTTAATAATGACTAGTGATTGAACAGAACTTGTATTTTATTTTTTAAATATTGTTCCCTTCTGAGATACCCATTTGACCCTCCTTCCTCATGGCCTTGCTGTCATCTTTTTAAGTATTTACTACCAGTGCATGGACTTAATGTCACTTTACATAATTTTCTACTAAGGAGTTTTAAAATTACAAATATCTCCTTTTTTAAAATTATTTTTAATTTCAGTAATTCCCTAACAGAGGACTCTGAAAGGGATGAATACATTTTATAGCAATTTCTTGATAGGAAAAAACATATTTATTTTTCTAAAGCTCCTTATTTTATACATATTACCCTGCATGTCTCCCTCCTAGAACTTTTCTACATTTTGTCTGGTATTCATGAACTATAGGGTATTTAAAATGCCTTTCTCAGTTAACAAAAAGGAATAGAAATTGGAATTTTAATTTTTTTTTTCTTTATTGATTCCAGAGAGAGAGGAAGGGAGAGGGAGACAGAGACAGAAACATCGACGAGAGAGAACATCGACCACATGTCCTCCACAGGGGGATCGAGCCCACAACCTGGGCATGTGCCCTGACTGGGAACCGAACCGGTGACCTCTGGGTGCATGGGTCGACGCTCAATGACTGAGCCACACCGGCCGGAATGAAATTTTAGATTCATGAGGCGCAACAGTACCTATTGCAGCAACTACATGTTAGAGACTGATCAATACTAAGGAATCATTGCTGTGGGATGAAAAAAACCTAGAAATGAGGAATAAAAATAGTGATTTTGGATACTTCTTCCAAGAGACACGATTGTAAAGAAAAGCAGAGAAGTGAGGTTTCGCTGGAAATTTTAAATTATAGGTGGGCATATTTTAAATAGTGGTTAATTTAAAACTCTTCAGTCAATATGAATAATACAACAGAGAAATAGATGATGCAGAGAGAGAGGAAATCATTTAATTGCAGGAGAAAAATTGCAATTGGGTGAGAAAGGAAAGACCCACAGCATAATTTGATCGTTTGGCCTTACATAGCTTAGAACACGTCTATTGGAAGGTCAGTGCAGACAGTATTTACACAGGCGCATTTCACATGGGCGATGGAGAGGTGAGGTAGGCCCCATCTGGTAGCTTCTATTTTCTCAGTGAAATATGAGCAAAGTGAAGGGTTTAGACTTGGGGAAAAGGGTGTACAAGGTTTAAGGCAAGAGGAGAAGCGATAAAATAGTAACCCAGAAGAGTGGAGATGAGAACTTGTGACAAATGTCTGGATTCCACACTGGTCTACCAGGGGAACGTGTAGACACCTGTTTTATTTTGATTTTTTATTGTTGAAAGTATTACAGATGTCCCCCTTTTGTCCCCATTGACCCCCTTCTTCCTGCTCGCACCCCCTCCTACCTTCCCCAGCCTAGTGTCCATGTCGATTGGTTGTGCATATATGCGTGTAAGTTCTTTGGTTTATCTCTTCCCTCCCCTCTGACTCCCCATTCCTCTGAGGTAGAAAGCTGTTTTACGCTTACTTCTCATGGGGAGCCCCTTTTTGGGTACTTACCAAGCATCATGTCTTCAATAACAGGCCATATGGCTTTAGCTCTCACTCACCATTATTTTCCACTCTGATTCAGTCCATTCATATATTTCAAACATTTTTCAAGCTTTATTTTGTAATTTCATGTGTTTGTGTAAGAGCAGAGGTTTTTGAGTATTTTTAAAGGAATTCGAACTTCCATTTCTCTGAATTTCAGTCTCATCCTTTATAAATTTTGCAGGATTGTAGTTAAGAATTAGAAATGATAACGTATAAATTATTAGCCCAAGATTGGCAATCAATAAATGATAGTTATAATTATTATTACTACTAAATGTTATCCTTTTGTCCAAAGAATATTAATACCTTGCTTCTATGCTGCCTTTTTTTCATAGATAATGTCAACTTCTGGTATTTTATTTTTAACAAATATTTCTCTCTCCCAATTTTTTTTTACAACTTTAATGCAGTACAATGTTTCTAAGATATCTTTTTTGAATTATATATTTTTTTCTATTTTAGCTTATGTAATGTTTTTAGGGCCTTGATGTTGTAATATTTGAGAAAGAATAGACTTCAAATGGAATATTTATTTCCTCATGAGACTTTATTCTTACTATGTAGGCAAAATGATAATTGATGATATATATTTAAAAGTCCAAATAATAACACTGCAGAAAAAAAAACAACAAGAAGTAAAAATGCTAACATAACTTGAAAGGGATTTTTGAAAACTGTCCCAGTATTATCCATATTCTCTTTGTCTACTAACATGTTTCCGAAGACTACAATGTTTTGTAATAAAGCGTTCTATCAATCTGAGTAACTAACACTAAGAAATACTAATCATATAACTTTAGTGTCAACCTGGTTTTATTTCCACATTAGAATATTCATGTCCATACTTGGTATTCTCTAAAGGAACACGGATACTACCAAATCAATGTTCAATATGTAAAGGAGGAATATGAGAGACTGACACAGGGAATCTTTATTCAACATCTTCTTCCATTTTGGTCTGCTCTAGGGCATGGATCTCTCTTTCGGGTAGTAGCCCATATTCATTTAGGAAAGATTCCACATCCCCAGCAAAAAATTCTTCAGCAAACTGTTCAGCAACACTAATAAAATTGCTTATGAGCTCCCCGCCTTTGTAGATGAGCAGCGTGGGGAGGACATCTGCGGAGAAGCGGTCCCCAGCACCTGTATTGGACGCTTTGATTTTACAAAACTTGACCATGGGGTATTCGGCTGCCAGGCACGTTAAGCTACCGTTTAGAGCGTGGCAGCCCTTAATGCCCTCTTCATAAATGTGGACAATGATCGTGGTGATTTTCTGCTCCTTTTCAATGGTCTCCAGGAATTGCTCCCCACTTTCCAGCTCATACACAAACCCATGTCTCGGCCCAAAGCTCAGCTTCTGGTGCATGGCCTGCATACACTGTCTCCGGTATTTACGAAGACAGTTTTCATCCTCTTTGTCTTGGTGGATTAGTTCATACTCTTGAATGCTCATCTGGGAACAAACAAAAGAATGATAGAGATCATTCAGCCAGAAATTTAATTCTTTCTTTTTTTTTCTTTATCCTTGCCTGAGGACATTTTTCCATTTTTTGTTCAGATGGAGTGGTGGGGCGGGGGGGAGAAACATCGACGTGAAAGGGACACATCGAGTGGCTGTCACCTGCATGACCAACCAGGGCTGGGGCAAACTGCAACCAAGGTACGTGCTCTTAGCGGGAACCGAACCCAGGTCTCTCTGGACCGCAGGCTGACGCTCCAACTGCTGAGCCAAACCAGCCAGGGCCAGAAATTTAATTCTATAGACACACCAAACCCATCCTCAACTCATAGAGTTGGCATTTGCTGTCCCTCCCCAATATGGCCTTCTCTTTTACCTCATTCAACCTTTTGTTCAAAGGTCACCTCTTTGATTGCTCTACCTAAAAGAGTCCCTGCCCCAAGTATTCTGTTCCTTACAGTATATGGGTTGAGTTTTTCTTCATAATCACTACCTGATATTGTATTAAATATTTATTTGTTTAATATTAATAATTGTTTTTCTAACTGATATGTTCCACGGGGGCAGGAATTTTGTATGTCTCATTCACTACTCTTCAATGTCTGGCCCATAATAGGGATTCAGTAATTATTTCATGATATAAATGCATGAATAAGTATTGCTGAATATAGTTGAACCATAAGATAATCACCATCTCAATGTGCCACTTAACTGCTCATCACTTTCGGTGGGGAAAAAAAAAACCACCCAGCAAGGTCTACTCTGAAGAGACTTTTATAAAACACACACACACACACACACACACACACACACACACACACTTAAATGTGTCCTCAACAAATGCCTTTGAACCTTAATGTCTCCTCCATAAAAGTTGTTAAAAAAAATTGTGTCTTATCACTTAATGTTTTTTTGGATACATAAAATAGGATTCAATCAAGACAGCTTTTACTACTATTTAGAGTTCATCGGATTAGCCAGGAGGTTCCAGCAGCATCAGTATCACCTGAGAAGTTCTGGGAAATGCAAATTTTCAGGCACCATCCCAGATCTATCAAATCAGAACCTGTAAGGGTGAGGCTGGTGAGCCATATCTAAACAAGCCCTCCGGGCACTTCTTAACCACTGGTTTAGGCTAGAGAAAGAAATGACCTAACCTTCATCTTCCAAGACAGCTACTTACCACTGCAGTTGGAATATAAAATTGCTTGCAGAACCTTTCTTAATAGCTACATTGTTATGAACTTATCCAATAGAATGTCAAAAACCCATCCCCTGCAACCACACTAAAAAAAGAGAAAAAATGAGGAGGAGCAAGTAGAAGAAGAAAGGGAGAGAGGGAGGAAGGAGCAATAAAGGGTATAAAGAAATGTGGAGCCCTGGCTGGTTTGGCTCAGCGGTTGGAGCATCAGCCTGTGGACCAGAGAGTTTCGGGTTCAGTTCCCGCTAGGGGCACGTACCAAGAAAGGAAGGAAGGAAGGAAGGAAGGAAGGAAGGAAGGAAGGAAGGAAGGAAGGAAGGAAGGAAGGAAGGAAGGAAGGAAGGAAGGAAGGAAGGAAGAAAGGAAGAAAGGAAGAAAGGAAGAAAGGAAGAAAGGAAGAAAGGAAGAAAGGAAGAAAGGAAGAAAGGAAGAAAGGAAGAAAGGAAGAAAGGAAGAAAGGAAGAAAGAAAGAAAGAAAGAAAGAAAGAAAGAAAGAAAGAAAGAAAGAAGAAAGAAAGAAAGAAAAAGAAAAACAGAAATGTGGAGCAGGCCAGAACCATGGAAGTTGGGACAGTTCCCAAGGGGTATCAATCAGCCTTCTCATCGAGTAGCCTCTCCTGACATAATTGAGAAGGCAAGAAACTGGTATTTATGAAAGATCTATGTCTTAGGCACTTTACATAGTTTATTTTACTTAAACCTCACAACAAACCTATGGGGTAGTGATCATTACAGAAGTTTAGGGAAGATATTGAGGGTCAAGTTTAAGTAAAAGTATCTGATGCTTCCATGTGTCCTTCTTTTGTTCCTGCCTCTTATATTTGTTTTTCTAAGGTCCTCATTCTTCTTCTTATATTTTTTTGTGCTTTAAGGATGCATTTGAGCATTTTTATGAGTATTTGTTCCATTCACATATTCAGTCATATAGATATTTAGGCACTTAGATACCTTTCTGAAGCTTAGCCTTAGTACAGCTTTAATAACGATAAGGTCTCATGTTTGTATGGCATTTTACATGGTTCAAAACTCGCTTACACTTACTTTCTCTTCACATCCCTTTAGAGCAAGTGGAGGAGGTGTTGTTACAGTTCCCAAGATGGGAAAATTTAATTGTCTCATCCACATGACACAGTGACTCAGTGAAGGAACCAAAACCCGACAATAAGATTTTAGACTGGAAAATTTTTATATTGTCCAGAAGCCTGAAAGCAGGTATATTTCTGAAGCATTGTCTGCTGAGAATCGATATACAACAGCTCAAAGATACTGGTTTGAAGACAATGCACTGAAGAGATTTTCCCCCACAGTGATAAACATCACTTTATGGCTTCTTTGATTAATTATGTTGATGTTATATAAACCAATACATGTTAATTATAAAGATTTGAAAAAATAACCTAAAAACTAAAGGAAGAAAGTAGTGTCACCACTCTGATACTTTGGGATAATCTCCATGAGCATCATAGAGATCATCTTCTAACATCACTTCATGCACATAGTTATACACATTATATAACAAGTAAATAAGTGAGATAAAAAAATTTGTGCTGTAAAAATAGGCGATTCCTGTTTGCACATTGTAAATGATTGATCATTGATTTTTCCTTAGCTTACCTTTCTGCTGAATCTTTCTTTTGAGTCTTTGTCATCCCTACTCTGGGGAGAAGACATTTGTCTGAGAATCTCCTTCTTGCTGGGAGGGACTGAGTCACTGTCTTCGCTCCCTAATTTAAACTTTCTCCAGTCATTTATTACTCCTTTGGGTCCTGGAATACAATGAAAAACCAATTGTTTCCCTTTTCCCTTTCAAAAAGACTTTATGCAATTAAAATTTGTGTACATATGGACATGAGAATAGACTTATCATGTTCTATGTCAGAAATAAACATCTTGTGTGGGCTAGAAATTTCTGACTGCCTAACTCATAAAAATGTTTTCCCACATTAATATTGTGAAATGGGTTTTGGCTAAAAATCTTTTTGTAACATCGGCATTAATGAAAATACAAATTATGGACTTTGAACTATTGTCAAAATTTCATGGTAAAGATATTAAAAAATTAGAGTGTAGGGAGGAAACTAGAATTCTAGAAAAATAGCACTGTTATTACATAAGAAAGAAGCTTCAGCAATAAACTAAAATGGGCACCACACTAGTAACAAAGGGAACCAGGATTGTTGGAGAATTGAACTAAAATGTCACCAAGATCCAGAATAACAGTAGGACATCAAAGAAAACCAGTGAGAGGGAGACCCTGCCTCAATGGACAAAACTAACATGGCCTTAGGAAATCGTTACATAACCATCCAGTTCCTTCTAAGATTCTAAGAATCATTTACAAATGCAGAAAGGATAGGATTTGCAGATTTAAATCAGGGTGATCCAACTGGAATTCTGAAGTTCAGTTGCCCTAATAATAACAGTGCTTGGAAGAAGGTCTAAATTCTTAAAAATATGCAGTTTAATATAGTCTTCACTAAAACTTAGCCATATCCACACCTTTAATATCACATTATATATATGGATGTATTTTCTTTCTCCATATATTTCCTAATAATTTTTATTTATATAATTTTAATATAAATTTATTTATACAGTATGGAACAAAATAGGATTACAGTTGTGAGTACACAAAACACAGTTTATTTGTGCATTACTATTTATTCATTATTGTACTGTTTTTCATACAAACAACTGTAAACCTATGTTTGCCAACCCCTGCATTCATTATATTCAGGCAATTAATACTTTATATTTGTGTCATTTTCATCTTTCAGATATATGTTTTGCATACACAAAATATGCTTGTGTGTAGCATGTGTTTATATGTGTAAAAAGAGCATCATTTTTCCTCTTGTTTTTTAAAAATAGTTGTACATTATACATACTTTCCCTAACCATGTTATTTTTTACTTCATAATATATCTCAGAGATTTTTTTTTCCACATATATTATATGTGTACACATATATCCTAGATGTGTATATACTGGAGTCATGGTGTTCCATTCTTTAAAATCTGGAGTCATGGTGTTTCATTATATAGACATTAATTTGTGTAAACAGTTTCTTTTTTATGTACGTTGTTGCTCCCACAGTTTTTCTGTGACAAACCTAAGGTTTTTCTGGAGGATTATTGATTTGAGAATGTTCTCTCATTATCTTTATTTTTTTCAAAGTCAAAAAATTATTTAAAAAACCACTTTATTTATTTACCTTTTGGTCTACTTGTTTACAACTGCAAAGAAAGTCCATAGCTGAGGATATTAGGAGAGTGGGTAGTGTGCACGGAGGTCTTACGATAGCTGGGCAGCAAGAATCCTCAATAATTTGTGTTTTTAATTAAATTTCTCATTTCTTGATATCTAAATAAAACTTTTAAAGTACTTGACCTCACATTAATGTACCCACTCAGTTATTTTTAAATGATTCCACCAGACCACTCAAAGGTATAGCAAATTTCATACTGAACAGTGGCAATAAGAACATTAGAGATCTCCAGATTTAATGTTGATTAAATAATTAGTTTTCTTCCTATAGCTTTGCTTACCTGTATGTGTGGCCTGTCCTTCAAAGTCTTCTTCTAAACTTTGGTTTTTGGCTTCTTCCATTTTAGAAATTAGATGTGATGTAATCTATAGGATGGACAAAGAAGTAAGGACAGATGAGCTATAAATACATATTCCTCTGCTGTCAGATTCCAAGGAGGTTAAGGATTATTGCCAAGTGATAAAGTTTCTAGTATGTTTCTATCTGCTTGTAAAAGGATATTAATGTTTGTGTTATTAGAGATATTTGAACCTAAGGATTTTACATAATTCATAGTTTGTCTTCTTTTACTTAAAAAGCCTTCAGTTTAGGTCTATGTACTTAGTGAACATTACCTATTACTGATTTTCTTTTTTTTTAATTACTGTTACCAAATTTCATAAAATTATACCTCAATATTTTATATAAAACATATTTTATTCATAATGATTATATACTTACAATGAACATGTACTATGTGTCAGGCATTGTTCCAATTATTTTAAGTGCTAAAAATCATTTAATTCTCACATGTGACTGGACCAATTATTTAATGCTACTTTATAACTGAGGGAACTGAAGGACAGAATTTAAGTTACTTGCCATTTTTTTCTCAATACAGTTTGACAGATTCAACCTCCTAATTGTCATTAAAGAATGATGATCTAAAGAAGATCATAACATCTCTCCATTCCATAGCAAGATGGCAGATATGATCCACTGAGTAAATGAAGACAGTGATTATACCTATAGGATTCTGATATATCATAAACTCTCACAAAAGCACATGGAGTTTTATTCATAGGAAACTCCCTGATGCCCTCATGTAGAACCTGTTCATTCTTAGTTCACACTCAGATCCAACCAATTTGCTTATTTATCTTTCCCTTATCTGGACAACTCTATTATTATACATACAACACAGTCCCTCAGAGGTCCATACAGTTGTGATTTTCTTGAAATTTTCAAGTCAGGGAAAATATACTAATAGCGGATATACTGGTTTTTTACCTTTTTTATTCCTCTACCTTTTCCCTCTGTCTCTTTCAAAGTCAATTTTAAGCAATGACATCATCCAGTTTTATGCTGTGATCCACCCCCAAAAGTATTTTTATTGATTTACATTTCATCCTTGGACTTGTTTTTTTTTGGTGCTTTCCCAAGGCACAGAAAGGTAAACAGAACTCTGTCTTCTTGATCCCCCCCCCCCCCCGCTTTTTTTTTAATCCTCACCAGAGGATATTTTTCTAATTACCTTCAGATAGAGTAGGAGGGAGGGAGAGATAGAGAGAGAGAGAAACAGGACATGAGAGGGACAAATCGACTGGTTGCCTTTTGCACGACCCTGACCAGGGCCAGGGGTGAACTGCAACCAAGGTACGTGCTCTTGACTGGAATCAAACCCATGACCCATTGGTCCGGGGGGGCGTGGGGAGTGATGCTCCAACCACTGAGCAACCCACCAGGGCCGGATTCCTCTTGATTCCTTTTTTTTTTCCCCTTCTGCTGCCATCGTTTGGCCTAGTCTCATAATTTTATTGTTTCCCTCCCTGCAATCCCTACCCAGAATCACTGGAGGTCAAAGGTCTTTGCCAATTTAATTTTATCCACTTGAACAAGAAAAGGCTTTTAAGAGAAGGCTGTCAAGGGAATAATAATCCACTCTTCAATATTTATGTAACTATAGCCCAGTAGGTGTGGCTCAGTGGTTGAGCATCAACCCATGCACCAAGAGGTCGCTGGTTCGATTCCTGGTCAGGGCACATGCCCAGGTTGTGAGCCAAATCCCCAGTGGGGGGCATGCAGGAGGCGGCCAATTGATGTTCTCTCTCATCGATGTTTCTGTCTCTCCCTCTTCTTTTCTCTCACTCTAAAGTCAATAAAGAAAAAAAAAATTTAAACAATTATTTATGTAACTATAAATGTAATAAAGAATATTAAATTAAATTTGAATGGATTTAGTAATAAAAATAAAGAAAATGGATATCAGGTAAAATGGAATATGTAAATGTTGTTGGACAAAAGAAGCTACTTAATTACTACAATTATTTAAAAATAATTTTTGCATCTAAGAAAAACAAATACTATTGGTTTGGTTCAAAAGAACACTACAGAGGAAAGTAATGGAAACTTATTTGATAACGTCAATGGTTGTTTAGTCCCCAGAAAAATAGAGACTCAAGCCAGTCTCTTATTTTGCAAGAGTAGGTAGTTAATCTGGAGCAGCTACTACTTGCAATAAATATACATAAGGTTTTTTAAAATCCAGAAATATTTTATTTCACATGTTGAAGAGACATAAGCCTAGCTTGCTTCTTGCCAACCTAATTGGCAGTCCTTAGTGGAAAAAAAAAGAAATCTCATTTTACAAAACGGCTTTTGTCAATTTTAAAGAATCCCTTTACTGGAATGATAATCCAGTTACTTGGGAAAAAAACAATTTGTTGATTGAATTAGTGTATGTTAGGAATAAACTATGCACCAGGCATTTCCCTGGGCTCTGAAAAACACGAGAACAAAACTCTTCTAGTACGGCACTCACAAATACGAAGACTTTGGTCAGCGGGTTACCTATTTAGTAAAGCAGAGGCCATTCTTACCTAATACCTCTATTTGAGTTAGAGGGCAAAGACTGGTGAAATGTACCACTTTTTACTAATGGGGGAGCCAGTGAACAGAGGCAGAAATTGGAAAAAAACAATGGAAACAACAGGAATATTTGCTTGTACTGCTTGAAGGCTCAGTAGAGAAAGACACGGTCTAACTAGCCATTGATACATTTTATCTACACTCCTGTTAATACCCCCTGCAATCAAGCCAGTTATCTTTTGCAAAATTTGCATCAGTATCCTAAAATTAATTGAAACAATGTTTGGAAGGTGCTTAGATCCTGACACATAGTAAGTGCTGCAGGAGTCTGTAAAGCGAAATAAAAACCCCACAGGAAGTTGGTTGCACTGTTGCTTAGTCTGGAGACTTGTGTAGCGAAGGGAGAAATTTCACTCATGGATTCATGTCAACCACTCAAAAGGATCAATTCTATGTTCCAAAGAATGGTATTTGAATTTGAAATGTAATTGAAGTAACAATTCTATGGCTTTAGTAGTATTTAAGATCCACTTCTAAAATTAAATCTGTTTCTTAGTCCTATTATTTTGTGGCACAAGTTTTATATAAAAATCTTAATGTGTGGCATGTCTTTGAAAATAAACACTTCAGTCTTTCAAACTTTCTGCTACTTTTCTGTTTGTCAGTAATCACATATAAACCTGGTTTCCTGGTATCTTTGTCTGCTTGAGCTGCTACAACAAAATACTATAGACTTGGAGGCTTAGACAACAAAAATTCATCTTCTTCTCATAGTTAGTAGGCTAGACGCCCCAGATCAAGGTCTGGCAGGGTTGGTTTCTGGTGAAGTTTCTCTTCCTGGTAGGACACTAATCCTATGAATCGGGGTCCTACCCTTATGACCTCATCTAACCATTAATTACTTCCTCGTCAGTTACTACATAGTTCTCTGCCCAGTAGATGCCTGAAACCAATAATAGTACCAAACCCTATATACCTGTGTTTTTTCCTATACGTACACAACTATGATAAAGAATAAGCTAGGCATAGTGAGAGGTTAACAAAAGTAACTAATGATAAAATCGAATAATTATAACAGTCTACTGTAGTAAAAGTTATGTGAATGTGCTCTCTCTCTCTCTCTCTCTCTCTCTCTCTCTCTCTCTCTCTCAGAATATGTTATTGTAGCCCAGCAGTGAGGCTCAGTTGGTTGAGTGTCATCCCATGGACTAAGAGGTTGCTGGTTCGATTCCCAGTCAGGGCATGTGCTTGGGTTGTGGGCTCAATCCCCCATGTGGGGTGTGCAGGAGGCAGCCCATGGATGTTTCTCTCTCATCAATGTTTCTATCTCTGTCCCTCTCCCTTTCTCTCTCTCTAAAACCGATAAAACATTAAAAAAATATCTTGTTGTATTGAATGTACAGCATGGAAATGCTGGACAAAAGGCTGATTCAAGTTCCGGGTGGAACACAGTGGGATGGCACGAGATTTCATCACTATACTCAGAACAGCGCGCAATTTAAAATTCATTGTTTATTTCTGGAATTTTCCACATAATATTTTCACTGTGGTTGAGCAGAGGTAACTGAAACCATGGAAACCAAACCGAGGACAAGAGGGACTACAGTATCAAAATGTCACATTTGGGAGTAGGTCGTTATCATCTGAATTTGGGGAACACAGCTCATTCCATGGCAGCCGTCTTTGACTTCTGTAAAGAATTCCCTGATTTCTGTGACGCTGGTCGCTGGGCCCTGGGCTCTGGGCCAGTGTGGCTGCCCATTCCTCAACCGCTAGGGCCTTGCCAAGCCTGCATTTCCCAGGGTCCCCATCGACCCCCAGGGAACTACCCCTGGGGAAATGGGGCTCACCCAGGATTAACTAGTCACTTTTTGGATTCTTTGCTAGTTCTTTCCCTGCTTCTGGATCCACATTCTGGGATGCCACAGAATATTCCACAAAATATAGGCTGGAAGCCCCCGCATGTCAGGTGATACAAATGCCAGTTACTTCCTTGGCCAGCGTCTGGGTTGTTCTGATTCCCTGATAATAGTTCCAATACCTATTATTTCCTGTTGGGAAAGAACAGGCATTGATGCCCAGGGAAAGCAGGCTCACTAGAAGTATTTTGTTTTATTTAGTAGGGCTGAGGTTCAGATACATGCGTCTTCTTTCCTTTCTAAAAAGTTGTAATGAAAGGTTTGAGATGACGTGTTCTAATACTGGTTTCTCTAAGTACAGAGTGAAAAGGTTTAACAACCAAACGTTAAAATGTCCTCTCTACCACTGAGATCAAAAGTGCAGGAATACACTGAAGTATTTCACTCTGACATTTTCAAAATTAAGTTGTTGTTGTTGTTGTTGTGCAATTTAAACAAATAATCTTCCTTCTCTCTTATACACGAATGCACGTGTTTCCTTTTGGAAACACAGATAAGAAGCTGATTCAGAGAAAGTGCTGCACTAATAATGACACGGTTGTGTCTGGACACGATTAGCCACGGGAGAGAAATCAATGACCAGGATTCAAGTGCTGAAGTGTTTGGTTAAAATGATTTTTAACTCAGCTGAAGTGGAATTTAGCAAATTATCTTTAAAGCCTACTTACACCGAGCAAGACTGCTCAGGTGGGGAAAGTCTACAGACATCCTGCCTCACATTCCCTTTGGATAGAAACCTAGATTCCGTGTCTTGATCTGTGCTCCACAAGGTACCACCTGCCTGCGCCCACCCTTGCAGGGCTTCATGTCCTACCTCCCTCTGCCTCTGCCGGTCCATCTCCTCGTCTCTGGTCTGCCGCTGTCCAAGGTGACTGGGAGCTAATCTGATCAACTAAGCCAGGCTAATGTTCTCACCAAGGCTAATATCTTCACGTCAGATGTGCTAACCCTGCCATGACTGCCCTCCCTGTGTCATTCTGGAATCCTGTAGAAAACAGTTCTGCCTTTGCTTTTTTATTAAAAAGTCATTAGTGGTGGGACGTTTATATCAAGCAGGTCTGACAGCACCATGTCCGATCACGGGAGTTATTTCTAGGCGTGTGGAGACCTCCGTTAGCTCTCGAATCATACATGTAGCTCTAAGGATTTTACCCAAGTCGTACTCCTCCCCCAGGGGAAAACCACCTGCTTGCGGGCAGGGACCAGGCATTGCAACGTATCCACGTGAGAGCAGAGCGTGATGCTTAACACCCAGGGTGGGGCAAAAGTAGGTTACAGTTGTTCGTATGGAAAATAATACAATAATTAATAAATAATAATACAAGAAAAAACTTTTGCATACTCATAACTGTAAAGCTACTTCTGCCCCACCCTGTAAAGGCACACGAACACTTGGGTTCATATCTAGCCCTGCCAATTACTGGCTGTGTGACCTTGAGCCAATCACTAAAGCTCTCTGTGCTTTGTTATTCTTATCTGTAAATTGGAGTAATAATAGGATCTACTTCAAAAGGCTGTGTGAGAATGAAATGTTGTAAAATGTATTATGTAAAATATATAGTATTTAGTATTAGAAACAGGTATTGAATAAAAATAATAATTAGTAAATAATTAAACATTTGAAATACTAAAACCAACCACTTAAAATTTATAATAGATGTAGTTGAATTAATATAAAATTTATTTAGGAATCAATACATATATGTATAGTGAATACCTAATTATCTCCCCCACTCAAAATATGCATATGCGTGTGTGTGTTATATATAGTCACTCATATATTGTACATTTATCTCAAAACTGTTTTATATTCTATCTCATTACTAAGGTTTTTTTCCTTATCAGAATGCTTTGATTTCCTGCTCGTAAGGTCTGTTTCCCACAAGGCCTTTCAGATTGTGAAGACTGAAGGGGCGGTGCATGTGGAGTCACGAAATGCAGGCTAATAAAATGTACAGGAAACTGTCTCCTTGAAAACACTAGTAGAAAGATTTTCTGTAGATACGTGCATAAGTGGAAAGTGGAAGGTGATGAGTTAATCTGCATGTAACATACTCGTCTTCCAATGAATTGACTTCTGTACCTTTGATTTTACAAATCAGGAGCGATTTGCTGTCTCATTGTCCTTTCTGTGTTCATGTCGCAGAGGTTTATATATTTTTTCTGCATCTCAGTTGTCTAGCGGAGTAGGACTATGCAGAGACAGTAACGACACTCAGGACTTCTGTTACCATCTTTAGTCATTCTAGTTGTTAATCTGGGGGTAGGTCAGCTTCTACATCTTTGATCAAAATGGGAGTTTTCTTTTAAATGAATCCCAGAAGCATAAGTGGAATACAGGACACACCGTCCTCAAACGGGCTGTTACACGTAAAGGCTGAGCAAAGGGCTGGCATTAAGCAAATGTTAGCTCGCTTTCTTCTGCACACAAAACACACACCTTGACCCCGTTGAAGACATCGCTCACTCCACTTGTCTCTTTTCTCCTTAGTATCTAAAGTTCATAACAACTTTGATGGGAGAACCATGATAGAAGCTTTGAAATAAGACCCTGCAGAGCAGATAGAATGTTTTCTCAGCTTCTATCCTTGTCAAATAGTTTTGCTCTTTCAACAAATGAGATGGGGGCAGGTGGCAGACTCAGGGAGCCTTTTAAATAATTTGTAAATCAGGAATGTATAAGAAATAGCAATCTTCTACTTGTTGACCAGTATCATCTGTAAAAATATTCTAGGAAAACATAAGCTTTCAAATTACAACTGGATTCTTGCTCCTAATAAAAGAAAAAGACATTTGCTTACTCATGTTTGCTCTTACAGATATTCTCTCACTTATTCTGAAGAAAATAGAAATATCAGGATGTTGCAGGGAATTCAGAGCAGATATCTTGTTTTGAATATCTTTTTTTTTTTTTTTTTTTTATCCTCACCCAAGGACATTTTCCCATTTTTTGTTCAGGTAGAGTGGGAGGGGGAGAGAGGAACAGAGAGAGAGAGAGAAACATCGATGTGAAAGGAACACATCGAGTGGCTGCCACCCGCACGACCGACCAGGGCCGGGGACAAACTGCAACCGAGGTACATGCCCCTAGCGGGAACCGAACCCGGGTCTCTTAGGACCGCAGGCCGACGCTCTAACCGCTGAGCCAAACCAGCCAGGGCTTGTTTTGAATATCTTTGTGTCTCATAAATAAATTATTACCCTACATATGGATTAAGTTCTATTATAAACATCATCGTGAATGATTTGTACATATTTTGACAACATATGTAATATCAAATCCAGTTTATAAACATAATATAATAGACCAAAAATTGCCATGATAAGTTAGATAGTCTCTAAAATTTTTTCTCGCTTTTAATGTTAGGTGAGTCTAAGTAGCACGTATAATGGTCAAAATATATATATTTAAAATTGATGCTATAGTTAAATCTATTTTTGCAGTTAATAGAAATATTTCTTTGGAAAACAATGAGAAAATCTTACTTCATTCATTTTCATGATGCAAACCGTTAAGTTTATTGTATTAATAATCACCTCCATGCATGCAAAATAGCAGAAAAATAAAACCAACTGAAAGAAATATTTCACCCTAATTTAAAAAATATGAATGAACCTCCTGTATTCTTTTCTTTTAAAAGCATCATTTCTGTTTCCTTAAATTTTGAAGTAACCTTCTGAAACAAATATCTGTATTATTATTATTCCCACTTTTAAGGTTAAAACAAAACAAAATAACAAACAAAAACTATAACATTAAGGAAAAAGCCCAAGAACACACAACTGGTTTAATGTTTGGTTCAGATGTCTGAGGGTGTTTTGGCATTGAATGGAATACTCCCTTTTACAGCCTGGGAGTCATACCTTCATATACAAGGTATGTATTTGTATGTACTTCCAATACAAGTCCAAGGAATCATCACTTCTTTCCTTCTGTTCTTCTTTCCCTCAAAGGGAGGACCGAAGAATTCTAAATTTCAAAATTAATTCTCTGTGCGTGGTTTTATTTTAACTTTCTAGAATTATCAGACTCAAAATGGCATGTTTATTCTGAATTTACATTAGCGAAGATATCAGCGCAAATCTCTTAAAGAGGGAAAGATACACAGTATTTAATTGTCTTTATGGTAAATTATTACTTAATGGTACTTTGCAATATTTAAAAAAAACCACACAATAATATATACATGGTAAAATCATTATTCTTTCCCTGAAGGTAAATTTTTAAAAATTACATTATCAAGAAGACTATCTGTGACTCACAGTTTGGTCCTCTGTGCCTGGTGTCCTTGACTATGACCCGTGGGTAAGAATCCCTGTATACAGAACTCCTCTTCAACTTGGACAGGTTTAAGCTCAGATTTAAGATCCTTGGATAGTGATGACTCTTGCAGAAATAGCTCTGAGCAAGTAATAGGATTGACATAAGAGAATTAACAAAGCCTATTCATTAACTGTAAAGCAAACTCAGACAAATAAACTAAAAAAAGTTCTTCAAGTCCTGTGGTAAATGCAACTTTTATCCACCTGTTGTATATTATTTGAGAAAAAATATTTCTCTTTTAAGCACGGACTGACAGCTATTGTTGCTATTTTCTGAAATAAAAGATTATTTTTCTGATTAAGAAATTTTCCTTGATTTAACTGTAATAACTATCCTTCTCAACAACATTTGGCATGGTACATTTTTTCTCTTACATTCATCATTTGCTTTCTTCTCTCTTTTTAGTGCCTTGAAATGTCTCTTGTATTAAAATCTCTGCTGTTACTCTTTTGTTTTGAAAAACAAAAAAATCCTAGAAAAGTTTGAATATAGTCTTTAGCACTGTTGATGACCTCTGCTTTATTGTATCTTTTCTAGGCCTTGTTTGTTCCATTATGTTGGTCATTTCACTTTTTTTCCATGTGCCATTCAAAACAATAAACTTTTATTCAACAACAATTTATTGACCTCCTACCCTTTGCTAGGGGTGGCTTACCACAAGAGCTATTGCAGTCTTCAGGAATTAGACTTTTGCACCGAGACCGTCTGTTCACGGCTACCCCACAGAATGACTATTCTACGAACCAAGAATAGTCAGCTTATAGTTTACAGGACGCATTGAATGGTTGAGAAACAGCATGACAGGAGTGTTTCATTTTGCCAAATAGAAACACAAGAGGGAAAAGCCAACAAACCAATGAGATTGGCTATCTACTAGGAATGAACACACGTGAAGGATTAGGGATGAGGGCGTGACTCCTCTCCAAGTACATTTTTTGTACAGTTTTACTTTTGTAGCGATGGTCACATTTTACATACACAAACTAAACCCACAAAGTAATGTAAAGCCAGTAAGAATGAGGGGACTCTAAAACGGAATATAAATAGAAGCAAGTGAAACTAAATATTTCAAATGAAAAATGCAACCTCATTGAAAGTAGGGGGCAATGAGCCCAAGTAACTTTTGAATATAGTATTTTGAAAAGTTAACAGAATAATAAACAAAAGAAGTATACACAAATATTGAACTCTAGTCAGCAGGACTGCTTTTTTGCAGTGTTGGCAATCTCTTATCTACTTTATGTGGCATGCTCATAAATATACACATTGAGGGTAACTGAAGTTTAGTTTCTTACCACTGCTGATTGGAGTACAACTATGCACTGGGGGAAGATTAGCAGGAAGCCGGTAATTTTGAATTGGCATTGGAAGTATTAATATGAATTCATGGCTTGCTCTATCTATCATCGATTATCTGTCTATCATCTATCTATCTATCTATCTATCTATCTATCTATCTATCTATCTATCTATCCATCCACCCACCCATTCATCCATCTATCTGCCTACCTTCTTAGATGTGTGTATATACAAACACATATATACATTTCCTAGTTCTGTGTCTTAAGGCATAGAAACAACACTCCAATAGCAGTGAGTATACTTAGTACCCAAATCTTGGTTTCCAAATTGCATCTTTACTAAAAGGAACCAGGGATCCTTGGGAAAGAAACAAGAGCTGGGCCAGATAAATTATAAAATGAGCCTGTGCTATCATAACAAAAATTAATAGATGCTCAAAAGTCACAGATGTCAAAATGTTACAGGAACAAGCTCGAAAGGACCCTACTGGTCAAATTTTGGACAATTTAGCATCAAAATAATGATAATAACAGATTCTAATATATAGAATAAAATGTTTTATGAATATATTATAATATAAATTAATAACTAAATAATAAATAAATGGACAAGAAAGCAAGATTCCTTCTTTAGAGTAAAACACTAATCAACATTTAGAAGGAATGAAAGAGTTAAAAATTATTATGTGGCAACCATCATGGTCAAATATTTTTAATTTTTGAAAATGACCAACATTTATTATGTTCACAATTCTGTGGGTCAGGAATTTGGTCAGGGCACAGCAAGGATGGTTTATCCTTACTTCATCATATCTTGGACCTTAGCAAAGTTGGCTCAAAAGGCTGGGGATGGTTGGGATGGCTTAACTAGGGCCATCTATCTGGGACATTGATTCTTTTGTACATGGCACCTATTGGTCTGTAATGCCTAGGACGACAGCTTCATTTACATGTCCCATGTTGCCTAGCCAGGTCTGGCTGACATCTCCTTTTCTCTACGATTCCTATTCTCAGGACAATCGAACTTCTAATATAGCAGATGCCTCCCCCATGCTGCCACCCCAGAGCAAAAGTTGTAATGAGTTCCAAGAGACCCAAAGGAAGTTGCTAAGCTTCTTACAACCTAGTGTCAGACGTTTCAGAATCACCTTTGCAACATTCTATTGGTCAAGAAAGTCATTAAGACCAGCTGAGATTCAAGGAGAGTGCAGAAATAGACCCAGCCTCTTGAGGGGACAAAGACATGTACATACAGAGGGAAGAAATTGATGGTGCTACCTTGGACACAAATTACCACATGAGTAGCATTTTTTAACTAGGTTTTTCACTTAGCAATAAGTCTTGGAGAGCTAGCCAAGTTAGTCCATATAGATCTACATCATTTCTTCTCATTGTTACATAATACCTACTAAAATTATACCATAATCAATTTAGATTTGCTCCTTTAGGAACATATAGGAGGTTTCCATTTTTCTATTCTAAAGTTATTCTTGAATATGATTATTTTTTGTTTATATTCCAGTATTTCTATGGTTAATACTGAGAAATGAAATTACATTTTTAGTGTCATAGGATATGAACATAATTAATAGTATTTACTATCAACTTGTCCTCAGGGTGTGGCAAAAGTAGGCTTACAGCTGTGAGTAAGGAAAACAGAGTTTATTATTTAAACTCTAGTCTTATATTATTTATTAATTATTATATTTTTTCCATACAAACACAGCCTTTGGGACAACATGAAGCATAACAACATCTGCATCTTAGGGTTACCAGACGGAGAAGAGAGAGAGCAAGGATTGAGAACCTATTTGAAGAAATAATGACTGAAAACTTCTCTAACCTGGTGAAGGAAGAAGACACAAGTCCAGAAAGTGCAGAGAGTCCCAAACAAGATGAACACAAAGAGGCCCATACGAAGACACATCATAATTAAAATGGCAAAGGTTAAAGACAAAAAGAGAAGCTTTTTAAAAAAATGCATCTTTATTTTTGAAAATATTACAGATGTTCCTCATTTTTTTCCCCATTGACACCCACCCCCCTGCCCTGCCTTCACTGCACTGTTGTCTGTGTCCATTGGTTATGCATATAAGCTCTTTGGTTTATCTCTTCCTGCCCCCTCCCCCTTCCCTCTAGGTTTGTCAGTCTGTTTCCTACTTCCATGTCAAAGAGAGAATCTTAAACAGCAAGAGAATGACAATTAGTTGCCTACAAGGGAGCTCCCCTAAGACTGTCAGCTGATTTTTCAATAGAAGCATTTCAGGCCAGAAGGGATTCACATGAAATATTCAAAGTGATGAAAAGTAAGGACCTGTTACTAAGACTACATTATCCAGCAAGGCAATCATTTAAAATTGAAGGAGAAAGAAAGAGCTCCCAGACAAGAAAAAGCTAAAGGAGTTCATTAACACCAAACCAGAGAAGAAGAAAGAGGAACATAGTTAAAAGAATAAAATAGCAATAAATACATACATATCAATAATACTTGAAATGTAAATGGCTTAAATGCTCCAATCAAAAGACATAGAGTAGCCAAAGACCATAAATATACTGTCTACAGGAGAACCACCTCAGAACAAAAGCTACACACAGACTGATTGGGATAGCCATTGTGGAAGACAGTATGGAGTTGCCTCAAAAAATTAAAAATGGAACTGTCTTATGATCCAGAGATTCCACTTCTGGGAATTTATCCATCCAAAGAAACCTTAAACACTCATTCGAAAGAATATATGCACCCCTATATTCTTTGCAGCATTATTTGTAATAGGCAAGATTTGGAAGCAGCCCAAGTGCCCATCAGTAGATGAATGGATAGAAAAGCTGTGGTACATTCACACAACGGAATACTACTCAGCAGTAAAAAATGAGGACATCTTACCTTTTGTGACATCATGGATGGACCCGAAGAGCATTATGCTAAGTGAAATCAGCCAGTCAGAGAAACATAAGTACCATATGATTTGACTCATATGTGGAATCTAATGAACAAACGAAACAGGAGAGAAGAGACTGAGAGCTGTCAGAGCCGAGACGGGTTGTGGGGCTGGCGAAAAAGGTGAAGGGTTTAAGCCCAATATATAATATACAGTGATGACCAGAGGGAAAGAGGGCTGGGGGAGGTAGAAGAAGGTAAAGGGGGGTAAATGGTAGGAAGAAGACTTGACTTTGGGTGGTGAACACACAATACAATATACAGATGATGTACTAAAGAATTGGACATTTGAAATCTATATCATTTCATTCGTCAAGGTCACCCCAGTAAACTGAATAAAAATTAGAAAAAAACCCAAAGAAATGTGTCCTCTCTCAAAGAAGAGGATAAATTAATATTGGTAAATATTCTTTTCTAGAAATACATTCTGCGTTAGTGTCAGTGTTTCTGTGAGAACGTACAGGAAAGCTGCCAGCCCTCCGACTACAGCAGTACTACTGGCAGGAGGTACAGCTTCCATTCCCAAAAAGCCCTTCCCGCCACCTGCTGTTTCTTCAAGCGGTTTTACAAACCAACTCTTACGCCTCCCTACACGAGTAACCAATCAAGGCCTGAATATTTCCATTTTTTTTACTGCCTCCAACCAGCGTGTTTTAAGAACGATCATGGTAACATTCAGGTGAGAGTTATAAATGGACACTAAAACGATTGTGTGACAGTTTGATGAGGAGCAGGACATCGACACAGCCTCAAAGTCCCTCCCCACCATTTACATATCACAAATT